TCTCAGGACCTACAAAAAAGTCTCTTGGAGCCAAGTGCAAAGTCGCACAGGAAGTCGGCCATTTTGGTCCAAGTGCGCGATTTAGTGGTTTTCACACACGTTGTTTGGAGAGTGATGCTCCGTCGCCCTTTTCACCAATCGCCTTCGAGCTTCTGCTATATACTCTTAAGACATAGAGGAAAAAATTCAACCGTCGGATTTTAAATAAGTATAAAGGTGTGGGCGTGGCTAAGCCTCAAACTTTGACCTTTCGCCACGCCACTCTTTTTTTCACAGCTCCCTATTTATCTCTGGTAAATAGCAGCTGACAAGTTGAGGTCACTTGGTCTACAGTACTGGCAGGTTTTGAAAAAAGGCGGGGCTTTGGGAGCATGGCGAAATTCGCCATCACGCCATGGCAATACGTTTGCCTCTCATTTCTTCAATTATCGTGACATCGCCACAAAATGTCTGGTGAGTGATCCTAGTCTGACCCCCAATAGAAATGGGCATCTGAGATTTGTGGGCGTGGCCTATATTCTGAAATAGCGCCCCCTAGGACCATTAAAACTGTCAGCCCCAAGACAAGGTTTGACTGAGGATTACGAAAATTGGTACACTCATGTAGGGTCTCTGGCCCTACAAAAAAGTCTCTTGGAGCCAAGCGCAATTTCGCACAGGAGGTCGGCCATTTTGGTCCAAGTACTCGATTTAGTGGTTTTCGCACACGTTGTTTGGACATTGATGGCCCGTTGCCCTTTACACCGATCACCTTCAAACTTATGCTATGTACTTTTAAGTCAAAGGGGAAAAAATTCAACCGTCGGATTTTAAATAAGTATAAAGGTGTGGGCGTGGCTAAGCCTCAAACTTTGACCTTTCGCCATGACATTACTTGACTTAATAACTCCCATGTGCATGATCAGATCTAATTCAAACTTTGTCTGTGTGATCACTGACCACATCTCAAGACAACGACAATGTGGACAGCTGACATCACCTAAGCCCCGCCCCCTGACAACAGGAAGTCTATTGTTTTATGGTGAAATGCCCATATTTGTCCCCTCTAATTTAATGAAAATGACACTCAGGTCATACAGTGTCTTCATGATGTTTTAAAGACCATTCAGATCTGATAGCTTTCCAGAAAGGGAGGGGCTTTGATGCCATGGTGAATGCTGGCGTGACGCCATGACCTTACATTTGACTGTAACTTCCACAAACGGCCTCCGATTTGCCCGAAACTGAATATGGCAATGAACAATCATGCCCTTTAGCCAATGAGGCACAAACGGTTGGTGAATGTTATATAATGTCACCAAAGCTGACCTCAATGGGACTTTTCTGTAGTTGGTCACAGCGCCACCTAGATAACGTTATCCTTCGATAACTTTAAAAAACATGGTCAGAATAGCATTAAAGTTGGTCACTGTCATCACACCACCAGTGTGGTAAAGATAGAGGATTCCCTAGTGGTGAGACATAAAATATAATGGTGGGCTCAAAGGGGATGCTGAGTCAGGGTGAGTTGCGGACAAGGTGGCCGTTAGCAGTTTCTGGTGTTGGGGTGGTCGACGTTTGTGTTCTGCGGACGTGCCCTGGTGCCCCGGGCTGCCGGCCAGGCCGGAGCGGCGCGGAGCTGCGAGGGCCGAACGACGCTGCTTGCAGCTTTAATCTTCACTTGTCTCCCGATTTGATTCGATTACGATTATTGGGTCAATAACTCAATTCGATTCGATATCCCGATGCATCACGATTATTTCATATTGATTTGTTTTCATTGATAAATAGAAGGTGTCAGATAATTGCTTTTTATTTTTAATTTTTTTATCAAAAATGTAATTGACACAACCTGCCATCCCTCAAAATCTCTCCATTCACAACAGGTTAGGACAAAACATTTTAAACATTTAAGAAGATTTAACAAAGTAAAACATCTGTTTCCTGGTTCAGCACCACACCTCAGGCTGAGAAAAACACGCTTTCAAAAACTCACAAAATCTAAAAAAGTACTGAAAACCTACAGGACACATAATGTAATAATAAAATCCATAATGTGTTCATATATGAGTGTTTAATGTCTCTGAGCAGCTCTAGAGTCAGATATTTATGCCACAGTTGAAGGGTGTCAGAAATAACACCAAATGAAATGTTTGACTTAATTTCATTTGAACCCAGTGGTTCATTTCTGAAATGTTGGAGAATGAATCAAGTTCTGTTTGATGCAGAAAATAATAAAACACAAAACAAATTCTACACTTCCAATAATATTTAAGATGTGTGTTTTATTCTTTCTGATAATAACACCAGCAGAAGGCTGTGGGCTGGATTAGGATTAAATTACCCAGCTGATTGATCTCCTTCACTAACCAGCTAACTACAAACCTTTCCACTAACCTGTCCTGTGTGACCCTCACCCTTTAACCCTCATGTCCATGCTGTCTCTGGAGGAGCAGATAGGAGACAAGACCTCCTGTAACTTAAAATGAACCAAAGCTTCCTCCCAGCTTCTCTTTCAGCTGAATTTAACATCAGTTTATCATCATGAAACAAAAGAATAAAGTGGAACAAGAACTTCTATCTTCTATTTCTCTCTCCTTTTAACTTCTCCATGTCCCTAAATAAAAGAGACAGACGATCACGCTGCAGCCGCCGTCACTGACCCCGCCCCCTCCCCAAGACCGGATCTCCCTACATTACAACAAGCAGTCTGACTGAGCGCTTCCAGGAGAAATAATAATGAAATTATGAAAATAATAACGCGTGTTTGGAGCATCGGTTTGGAGGAGCGTCATCCGACCCTCTCTTGTGTGAGCAGACAGTGTCTCTCTCACTCTCTCAGTCGCAGATCGAGCGAGCGGAGCGCGCCACATGACAGCCCGCTCAATTAACATAATTCACGGCACAAATCCAACAGAACCGGTCGGGCTGATTCGGTTCCAGTTCGGTCTCAGGTTACAACTCTAGCGCTCAGCCCTGCAGTACCACATTAAGGAGGAACCACTTGGTAAATGTGGAGGACACTGACAGTTCTCTTTCTTAACATTCGTTTCGATGTCTCACTATGGGATACGCCACTCCGCGGATTCCTCAGAAGCACTTATCTCAATATGCCAATCCTGATTGGCCAGTGACCGTGACGTACGCATCACCTGCTACTATAAGTAGCAAGCGTCCCCACGCACGCACTATTCAATCACCTCTTCTCGCTTCGGTGGTCGCTTATCTCTGAGGTAAGTTAGCTCAACTGTTCACAGACGGAGCCAGCTAATATTCTCTCCGTCGCCGAACGTTAACTTACTGTCCTTCTGTCCTGACCTTCACCATAGGCTCGGGGCATAACGAGCAGCTTCACACTCCAGTGCACCTGTTCGTTCTCTGCTAACACACCAGTTAGCCAACATGGAAGCCGCTCCTCCCACCAGAGGAGTCGACGGCGCAGGAGCTCGCCTCTGTACCTGTGGGAACAAAATCTCAAGCAAAGACCCGCACAAGGTCTGCTCGAGCTGCCTCGGGCTGGAACACGCCCAGCTGGCATTGGAAGTCCCCGGGTCATGTGAGAGCTGTGCTTGCTTCAGCCTGAAGAGCCTTCGCCGGCGGCTAGCGCACCAAGCTAGCCTGTCGGGGAAGGACCCTTGCCTGCCGGCCCCTGGGCCACCGCCTGGGGACGCCAGCGAACATGCCCTCCCAGAGCCGGAACCGTGTGCCGAACTCAGCTGGGGCTCACAGCTCGAACTGGCTGGTCCGAGCCACCCCGTCGAGGACGTGTTGGAGTTGGACTACGGAGACGACGAGGACACCTCGGAACTCCTCATTTCAGAGGAGGACGAGGATGAAGACGTTGTTCTCCCCACTGGATTGTGGAGGCTATTTCTATGGCTTACTCCTGTCAGGGCATTCAGGCACCTGTAGGGCTCAGGGCCCATTCTACTAGGGGCCTGTCTGCTTCTTGGGCCCTTTTTCGGGGGCTGTCAATCCAGGAGATTTGTGCTGCAGCAAGTTGGGCTTCTCCACTTGCATTTGCACGCTTCTATAAGCTTGATGTTTCGGTCCCTGCGATGACTCACACGATTCTGAGTGTGGGGTCTTTGGCGGGCCAAGACGTATCCCTGTAGGTTGGTGATCGCTGGATAAGCTGTCTGGCAATACGGGAGTCTCCATATCCCATAGTGAGACATCGAAACGAATGTTGAGAAAGAGAACTTTAGGTTACTGTCGTAACCCCGGTTCTCTGAGCAACATGAGTGAGATGTCTCACCAGACAACCCTTCTTGCTGGGCGAAGCGAGAACAGGTGTTTATCTTGAATAGTGCGTGCGTGGGGACGCTTGCTACTTATAGTAGCAGGGGGACGCGTACGTCACGGTCACTGGCCAATCAGGATTGGCGTATTGAGATAAGTGCTCCTGAGGAATCCGCGGAGGGGCGTATCCCATAGTGAGACATCTCACTCATGTTACTCAGAGAACCGGGGTTACGACAGTAACCTAAAGATTTGGATGCTGCGCTGGTGCCGCCGTTAAAAAAAAACTACATTCCACTATAATCGATTATGGCGTACTCTTCTACGATGCAGAATCGTTTATGTCCGCATCCCAATGCATCGATTATTTGATTATTGTCCTCAGCTCTAGTATTTTTCACGTTTTGTGAGGTCCAACTTTTGCATCGGGTTGGTGCAATGCTTGCAGGGGGTCAAACACCGTATTAGTGCGGTGTTCCTAATAATCCTCTAGGGGAGTGTATTTCTGTTTTGTCTAAGATCATTATGATTTTATGACTTTATGATTTATTTTGTTTTTCACCTGTGTGAGAAACTTTGTGATTCTGTGTAATGAGTGCTATATAAATAAAATGTACTTACTTAAGATCTCTGTGAATAGCTCATTTAAGATTCTTGACTTCAACATGCTTCTGTCAACATTTCATTTCACTTGGATGACCTGAATATATTGTGAACTGACAATAAAAACTTTAATTTGGAGTTGTGTTTGTTTATGTTGTGTTTCCAGCATTGCTCACCCGGTTGTCATAAACCTTTCTGAGTGCCTCGTAGCGGATGGAGCCCTGGAAGATCACACCCTGGAAGGTGTTGCTCTTGTCACTTGCCACCAGCTCTACACACACCATCTCCCCTTCTCCAACCGTCATATCGCTGAACACCTATGTAGACACATATACACAAGGTTTTGCTACAGAACATAAACTCCTTGAGTCCCACAACCAAACAAGGGCTAGGTCAGCTTCAGAGCAAAATATCATCTGATTGGTTTATCATCACCACCCCTACCATCATAAAGGCCGTCTGGAAATCTGTGTTCAAAACTGTCAGTGCATCCATTTTCATCTACTTATTCGAGTCCAGGTCGTGGGGTCAGCTGCTTAAGCAGAGAGGCCGTAACCCCCTTTTCTACGGCAACCCCCACAAGCTCCACCTGCAAGATCCCCAGGCATTCCCAGGCCGATGAAGAAATATAATTCTTCAATGGCCTGGGGGCCTCCTCTCAACAGGACATGCCTGAAACACCTCCTCTGGGGGCTTGTCTTAGCTCATCATCCTATCTCTACAGATAACCCAGCCACCTGATGGAGAAAAATAAAGTCACAGCTCATGACCACAGCTGAGGATTTGGATGAAGATTGCCTTGCAAATTAGTAGGTCTTCCACACTAGCATCGGCTCTACTCCAACTTGAGTGTTTCCACCTGGGTAAGCTTGAATTTTCCCACGCACAACTGGTCCTTTTTTCAGCTCTCTTCCCAAAGTGGTCTGCTTTGGGGTAATCTAGTGCAACACACCCACTGCTGACTGATTCGCTGGCTCAAATTCATGCCTACCATTTGGGGGAGCCTCCGATTGGCAGGTAGAATCAACCATCAACACCACCACCATTGATTTTGCCGAGTTGTGTTTCTGTGGAGCATACAGATCAGTTCACACTCCACTGATAACCTCATGCTATTTTTTGTGTAACCCATGTCCCCCTCGTGAACATCTCAGTGCGCGTTTTGCCCCACCCACATGCGCAGAGATGTGCTAATCAGAATCAGAACAGGTTTATTGCCATTGTCAGTGAACAAACAATTCACAATCTAGGAACTTGCTTTGGTACTAATGTGCTACATATAACATGAATAATAAGATAAAAAAATAGAATAAAATAGAATAAAACTTTCAGCTATAAAAAAGGCAGGTAATGGTAACATGGCCGATAACGTGACGTTATGTCGAGTACAGAAGACCAGCATGGTTGTGTGTTTATAAGCTGTTCACAAGTCTAACGGCAGATGGAAAGAAACTGTTCTTATGGCGGGAGGTTCTGGTCCGGATGCACCGTAACCTCCTGCCTGAGGGAAGCGGCTCAAAAAGTCTGTGACCCGGGTGAGAAGGGTCAGCTGCTATCCGACCTGCACGCCCCCGAGTTCTGGAGATGTACAGGACCTGGAGAGATGGAAGGCTGCAGCCAATCACCTTCTCAGCAGAGCGCACAATGCGCTGAAGTCTATGTTTGTCCCTCACCGTGGCTCCAGCGTACCACACAGTGATGGAGGAGGTGAGGATGGACTCAATGATGGCCGTGTAAAACTGCACCATCATCTGGGCCGGCAGCTTGGCCTTTTTCAACTGCTGCAGAAAGTACATCCTCTGCTGGGCCTTTTTGATCAGGGAGCTGATGGATGGCTCCCACCTAAGGTCATGTGTGATGGTGGTTCCGAGGAAGCGGAAGGAGTCCACAGTGGTGACAGGGGTGTCCGTCAGGACGAGGGGGAGAGATGGGGCTGTGACTTTCCTGAAGTCCACAATCATCTCCACTGTCTTCTGAGCATTGAGCTCCAGGTTGTTGCTGCTGCACCAGTACACCAGCCGTTCCACCTCCCTCCTGTAGGCGGACTCATCACCGTCAGAGATGAGCCCGATGAGGGTGGTGTCGTCTGCAAACTTGATCAGTTTAACGGAGTCATGGCTCGAGGTGCAGCAGTTTGTGTACAGGGAGAAGAGCAGAGGAGAGAGTACACAGCCCTGTGGAGATCCTGTGCTAATTGTCTGAATGGTGGAAACATTCTTCCCCAGCCGCACGCACTGCCTACGGTCTGTCAGGAAGTCAGTGATCCACCTGCAGGTGGAGTTGGGTACGTTGAGCATGGAGAGCTTGTCCTGGAGCAGAGCAGGAGGATGGAGTTGAACGCAGAGCTGAAGTCCACAAACAGGATCCTAGCGTAGGTCCCGGGGAATCCAGGTGCTGCAGGATGAAGTGGAGGGCCAGGTTGATGGTGTCGTCTACAGACCTGTTGGCTCTGTATGCGAACTGCAGAGGGTCCAGGAGGGGTGAGGTGAAGGACTTGAGATGAGGGAGGACCAGGCGCTCAAAAGACTTCATGACTACAGGCATCAGCGCCACAGGCCTGTAATCATTCAGTCCAGTGATACGGGGTTTCTTAGGGACAGGGACAATGGTGGACAGCTTAAAGCAGGCTGGAACATGGCAGGACTCCAAGGAGATGTTAAAGATGTCCGTGAAGATTGGACACTCTGCACAGTGTCTCAGGGTTGCGGGGGAGACACCGTCCGGGCCCGGGGATTTCCGTGGGTTTTGCTTACAGAAAAGTCTAAACACATCCTCTTCTGTCACTGAGAAGGCAGTGGAGGGGGAGGGGTGGTCAGCGGGGACTGTACTATTCACAGTGGTGAAGGTGGTGGGGGAGGGGTGGTCAGTGGGGACTGTACTATTCACAGTGGTGAAGATGGTGGGGGAGGCATGTGACACCAGAGTGGCTGAAGAAACCTGTGCAGTAGGGGGGGTGGGGGAGGGGTGTTGGACTTCAAACCTTGCATAAAAGGAGTTAAGTTGTTCAGCCAGTTGTAGGTCGTCAGCAGCATGTTGGGCTCTAGGCTTGTAGTTGGTGATTTGCCTGAGCCCTCTCCAGACAGAGGTGGTGTCATTGTCAGAGAACTGCTCCTTTAGACTCTTATTGTACCGGGATCTCACCTTCTTCAGCTCTTTTGAGAACTGGTACTTAGCGCCCTTGCAGCGTTCTCTGTCCTTGGCTCTGTGGGCTGCTTCTTTCTCTCTCCTCAGCTGTCTCAGTTTGGGTGTGAACCAGGGCTTATCACTGTTTAAAGTGACCCTGGTTTTTGTTGGAATAATGCTGTCCTCACAGAATTTTATATATGACGTCACAGTGTCTGTATATTCATCCAAGTTGTCTGTGGCAGATCCAAACACGTTCCAGTCTGTTGTGTCCAGACACATGCGAAGCTCCTCCACAGCCTCGCAGGTCCACTTCTTAGAAGTTCTCACTGCAGGTTTGGAGAGCTTCAGCATCTGCCTATATGAGGGGATGAGGTGGATCATGGCGTGGTCTGAGAAGCCGAGAGCAGCTCGCTGCACGGCTCTATACGCTCCACTGACTGTGGTGTAGCAGTGGTCCAGCGTGTACTGCTCTCTTGTCGGGCATTTAACAAACTGTCTGTACTTAGGCAATTCCTGGCTCAGATTTCCCTTGTTAAAGTCCCCGAGAATAATAACTAGAGAGTCCGGAAAGGTCTGTTCCACACTTAGAATCTGCTCCGCGAGCGCACGTTCAGCCTCGTGCACGTCCGCGCACGGCGGGATGTAAACAGCGGCCAGAATGAATGAAGCGAACTCACGTGGGGAGTAGAACGGCTTACAGTTCATGAAGAGGAATTCCAGAGCAGGAGAGCAGTACTGGGAGAGCACAGTCACATCCGAACACCAGGCATTGTTGATGTAGAAGCAGACACCTCCACCTTTTGTCTTTCCTCTGGATAAGACCCGCTGTCTGTCTGCGCGGAGGAGCTGGAATCCCTCCAAATGGCGCGCGCAATCCGGGATCTGCTCGTTGAGCCACATCTCCGTGAAGCATAAGACAGAAGAGGAAGAAAAGTCTGTGTTCTGTCTCATCAGCAACGCCAGTTCATCCGTCTTGTTACTAAGTGAGCGGACATTGGAGAGGAAGATCCCAGGTAAGGGCGTACGTGAGCCGCGTCTTCATAGACGCACGAGCACTCCCGCACGATTCCCTCTCCTACGGCGTCTCACTTTCTTATTTAAAAAGTGGACCAAATCCGCCACACTCACTAAAAAAACTGGAAATAGGTCCGTCGGCGTTGATGTTCTAACGTTTAGAAGCTCTTCACGGGTGTAAGAGCACGCTGACACACCATTTACAGACATAAAACAAACAAAACATGACACACGTTAGCACCAGGGCGTCCTTTCTCGGCGCCATCTTGGTTTCCATAATGACATCACTGATAGCTTTGCAGCAATTTGGAGACTGCCCATATGCTGAGTCATGTCCGCATTTCTAAGGATGTGTGTGTTATTAACCCAGCCAGGCTGGGGCGGGATGGGCGGAGTTGAGAGGAGTGGAGGCCTATAAGAGTTTTGCTTCCCGCCATAGCTCCCTCTTCACCATAACAGAATGGTTTAGCATCTGCATCAGTGCAGAAGCTGCCTCAGGTTGCCTGTTGATCTCCCACTCCCTCTTTCCCTCACTTGTAAACAAGACCCCAAGATTCAACACAACCAGATCTGGAGCCTTATCTCAGAGTCTACTCCAAGCTCCTTCCGGATGACTAAGCTTATCACCCTATCTCTAAGGGAGAGCCAAACACCCCACAGAGAAAACTCTTCTCGGCTGCTTGTATCCGTGTGTTATTTTCTAAAACTGAACCACAATAGGCGAAATCTACAAAGCAGTCAGCTTCATTTTTTTTAAATTATTATAGATGTTTGTAGCATATGCAGCTACTCACTTCAAATAAGAAAACATCAGAATGTTTCTCAACATTTTTATTTCCAGCATGCGTGCATGGGTGAATTGTTTCATTTGCATACACTCACTACAGTGTTTCTCGTCACCATGTAGAGGAGGCTTGTGCCTCTTCCTTAGAGCCCTGCACTGAAGCACTAGGCCCTCGGGGCTTCGGGCCAACGACTGTGCAATTACCTAGGACACGGGCCGGGCCGGGCGCCTTTATTTTTAATCGAATTCATTAAAAAATTGAAACACAAACGCAGCAGTAGAGCCCTGCGCGGGACTGTTTTCTTCATCCCGCTCCCGCTGAATTTCTGACCATTAGCGCCTGCAACTGCAACGTGTGTGTTACACTCCCGCCCGCACCTGCAGCGTGCATGT